GTTTCTGTGTAGTATGGGGCTAGCCCAACCGAGGGGATATAATGTATAGGCCTGGTGGGTTCAGGGTCTTTCATCTTACATCTGCCTGCGAGCAGTTTGGAGGTGCAAGATACCTGAGCGTGTAATGTTAATTTTACCTGTGATCCTTTGAATAAATCAGCACTGTTTTGAAGTTACTTGGACTGGCTTGTCTCTCAGAGTTAGCAATAGTAAGAAGAACCAAAGTCCTTCATTTGATTGGGGCAAAATTTTCAAAATAAACTAAATATTTCAAAAATATGAAGTTTTGAAAAATTCTGAATATAAGCATGAATGTCCTTGAAGAGCTGAACATTTTAATAGCAGAAATAGCTAAAGTATGCTGAAAGAAAAATTCCCCCATTTATTTGAATGGGGCAAGACTTTCAAAATAAAGCTAAATATTTTAAAAATTTGAAGTTTAGAAAACTTCTGAAGCAAAGCATGAATGTCCTTGAAGAGCTGAACATTTTGATAGCTGAAAGAGTTGAAAGCATGATGAAGTTGAACTTTCCCATTCATTTGAATGGGGCAAGATTTTCAAAATAAAGCTGAATATTTAAAAAGTATGAAGTTTACAAAAGTTCTGAAGAGAAGCATGAATGTCCTTGAAGAGCTGAACATTTTAATAGCTAAAATAGCTGAAAGTATGGAGAAGTAAAAATTTCCCCATCCATTTGATTGGTGAAAATTTTTCAGAATAAAGCTAAATATTTTAAAAATTTGAAGTTTAGAAAACTTCTGAAGCAAAGCATGAATGTCCTTGAAGAGCTGAACATTTTAATAGCTAAAATAGCTGAAAGTATGGAGAAGTAAAAATTTCCCCATCCATTTGATTGGTGAAAATTTTTCAGAATAAAGCTAAATATTTTAAAAATTTGAAGTTTAGAAAACTTCTGAAGCAAAGCATGAATGTCCTTGAAGAGCTGAACATTTTAATAGCTAAAATAGCTGAAAGTATGGAGAAGTAAAAATTTCCCCATCCATTTGATTGGTGAAAATTTTTCAGAATAAAGCTAAATATTTTAAAAAGTATAAAAGTTACAAAAAAGTTGTATACATCCGCGCATGTCCTGAAAAAGCCGAACATTTTGATACCTGAATGGCTTTTCTAGCTGAAAGTATGCTGAAGTAGTTAAGTGCCAAAAAACGTACGGAATAATAATAATAATAAAGAAATAAATAATTGGAAAACAAGGTATGGATGCTGAAACAGCATCCATTCAATTATGTGAGTGCAACAGAGTAGACCAACTGTAGGGAGAGGGTGTTCCCGACCCTCTGTCTGTCGGGTATAAATACACTTTGTCCCGGCTTCAGTCTGTCCTCGCACCGGCAGCAGCTCTGTTTGGAAGGTAAAACACGGGATGGCAGCGCCGAAGAAAGTCTGCGTGGTTGGCTCTGGTAACTGGTGAGAGGCGGCTTTTAATACTTTTAAATACATTTGAATGGCCATTACGGGGTGTTTAAATTTTTTTTGGGGGGGGGGGTTCATATCAGTATTTTTGTTGCCAGAATAGGATTTTACAAGCAGTTACGTTTTTATGAATGCTGTGGTAAATTTGGAAGAAACTTTAGTCATTTCGGATCAATGATTCATAAAGTTCATCAACTCGCCTGCTGCAGGCAGAGAGGAGGTCTCCCGAGGCTGACACCGCCTCTCTGAGCGTGTGCTGACCTTTGATACCTCGACACGCCGGAGTATTCGTTAAAGAAGCGGCTCCTGTCTTCTGTTACTCAAACATTTGTGCTGAGTGAGCTTTCCTGTGGCGTTGATATCCCTCGGCCTGCGGGATATTGATTATAATCAATGGCTATAGTCCGTAACTCAATACCTCACAGTAAGGTCCTGCATTTAAACTTGGGGATAAGTAAAAGTAAGTAAGTCGCATAATGTAATTAAAGCTTTAAAAGTGAAAGTCATGCCACCATTACCTCTGTCACTATATTAACAGGCTATATAGCTTAGTATTTAATTATTATAATGGATTTAATATGAAAGGTGCATTTTAATGTTTGTAGATCATTTTAACTAATAGGCTAATATATAGCTTACCCAGCATTTGGGTGCTATGATCTTTAACAATACATTGTGTTTTGTAGACTGATTGCAGTTTTTTTGTGTGAAAGCTGAATCTGAAAAGAAACTAGTACATTTCCTTTTTAAAGTAGCATACTGAAGTACCTCTAAATTGTGCATTAGTGCAGTACTAATGCAAAAAGTACTTGGTGTGACCATAATGTGTTAATAAAAGATCAACTTTTGATACTTAATACTGAAGTATAAAGCCTAATCAGGATTTCTCTTAGCTCATGGTATATCAATAGTCAGTAGCCTATTCATGAGGGAGGCTCTCGTGTTAAAATAAGATTTGCTGGTATTCATTTTTGTCTTGTCTGGGAAGGCATTTAAAAACTTTTAAGTGAATCAAAATTTCTCTGCTACAGACTAACAGATGTCCACGTGCCACCTGTTGAAATATATTACTGTTTTACTATTCCTATCATAATAAATTAGCCATTAATGGCCTAAAATGTGTATTTATACACAGAAAAATAATGTTTTGTATGTGGCAATTCGTATGTAGCAATATTTAATATCAACAGTAGTTGGCACTACATTTTATGCAAGAATACACACATAAATCAAAGTTTAGCATCGCCAGAACAATATCAGAGATTCAATATACCTGTCCAAACCAGAAATGGACACTTTGTCAACTTTTTTATAACTACAGCAGCACATCAGAGCTGAGAATCCCCTAAACCCCAGTAGGAAATCCATTCAGATCCATGAAAAGCAAAGGCAATTTATCCTTTTTTGGAAACTATAAAATAAACTTGTCATCGTCCTGACACCAGAATCATTATCTTGTGTCTCCATGTCACCAGGGGTTCTGCCATTGCCAAGATTGTGGGTGCCAACGCAGCCAAGTATGACAAGTTTGACAAAACAGTGAACATGTGGGTTTTTGAGGAGATGGTGAATGACCGTAAACTCACAGAAATCATCAACACAGACCATGAAAACGTGAAATATCTGCCTGGTCACAAGCTGCCCCCCAATGTGGTGAGCCTAGAAATGCCCTTGATAATAAGGAGGATAATAATAAGGAGAAAAAAATCACCTTAAATGTCCATGTGAATGTTCTTGTGAAGCTGGTTTTGAATGAGATGCGGTATATGTCAGAAACATATGCACTGTTTGGTGTCGTTTTCACGTTCTCATTTCTCTTCTCCTCAGTTGGCTGTTCCAGACTTGGTTGAGTCTGTGAAAGGAGCCGACATCCTGATCTTTGTGGTCCCTCACCAGTTCATCGTGAGAATATGTGATACCATTAAAGACCACATCAAGAAAGACGCTGTAGGAATGTCTCTCATCAAGGTAACATCTTTCTTACAAAGCATTTTGGGTTCCTAGAGCATGGTAATGAAATACGAAGCTTCCAGTTCTTTTTGTTACATCTCACATTGCACTAAGGACATACACGTTCAGATTTTCTTGTATGAATTTTGTGGCTATATGTATCTACAGGGTGTCGATGCAGGTCCAGAGGGTCTGAAGCTGATCTCAGAGGTCATCCGAGCGAAACTGGGCATCACTATGACGGTCCTCATGGGAGCGAACATCGCCAACGAGGTCGCTGAGGAGAAATTCTGTGAAACAACGATTGGTATGGGGGTTAATTCTTGAATGAGATCCTCATTAGCATCTTATCCTTTTCTTAACCTGGACTGAAAATTTTCAAGTTTTTTCCCAAATTGGAGTAATGTGCAGTGAAACACATTCGACAGTGGACATATTGAATTAAATGATATTGGTTGAAAGTATCGAAGCTAGTGAACTGGTCTAACCCCAGACTGAACTCTAAAACGCTTTCAAGGATTTTATTCACACATGCTGTACATTGATTTTGTTTTTAACTGCTGTACTTGAACTGAACTTGTGGTGAAACATTTTGGACACTGCACTGAATGGCACACCTCCTTTGCGTAGTATAGCACGTGTAACACAGGACATGGCATCCTCAGATTTTTAGTTTTGTTTGAAAAGATTTTTCAGTGTGGCTTTCTTTGGTTTCTCTTGCTCAAAACATACATTTTATTTTCTGATACAGTGTGATTTGTCTCAGTGCTGCATTGTGGAAACTGACAGAGGTGTATTTATTACTTGGGGACTCAGGGTGCAAAGACAAAACAACTGGACCCATACTGAAGGAGCTAATGCAGACTACCAACTTCCGTGTGACTGTGGTGGAAGAGTCCGATGTGGTGGAGATCTGTGGCGCGCTCAAGGTCAGATTTTCTCCTCCACAAAGCTAATCAACTCCTTGATTTTCACAACCACCTGAGCACTGGCGTGAGTGCATAAGACACACTATTACACAATTAAGCAATGCATAAAGAGATGTAATGGGCGAAGAGATGATCCAGAGAAGTACATGTTTACAAGATTTTTGTAGTGTAATATTTGCAAAATATTTTAACTTTAAATGCCTGCATTCACTCAGACATGTTTGTAAAATGCTACCATGCTAATCAATTTTAAAATCTTTTCTTTTGCTTGTATTGGTCCAAAAAGTATTAACTGTAAATGTTACAAACTAATAATGATCTTGTTTTGGATGCACATCAACAGCAGTAAAGAGACAGAATTTGCTGGCAGACTCCAGTCCATAGTGGCCTTAGAGCATAAATGATGTTCAGGTCCTCATATGCTTTGGTACTTCACCTAACATGTTTAAAGTGCAATACAATAACAGCTGTAACTTCTCTTTATTGTTACTGCAGAACATTGTAGCAGTGGGAGCAGGTTTCTGTGATGGCCTGGGGTTCGGCGACAACACCAAAGCAGCGGTGATTCGTCTCGGCCTGATGGAGATGATTGCCTTCGCCAAGGTCTTCTGCACAAACTGCCCTGTCTCCCCCGCTACCTTCCTGGAGAGCTGTGGCATCGCTGACCTCATCACGACCTGCTACGGCGGACGCAACCGCAAGATTGGGGAAGCTTTCGCCAAAACTGGCAAAGTAGGAAGCAGATTTTGTCTGTTATTCTTCTTATGAAAACCATAATAATGTAACACCAAGTATGTGTCTGTACAGAGCATTGAGCAGTTAGAGAAAGAGCTGCTGCACGGCCAGAAGCTTCAAGGTCCAGCGACTGCGAGCGAGGTCCACCAAGTCTTGAAACAGAAAAACATGGTGGAAAAGTAAGTTTGTCTAATATTGTATTAAGATCTTTATCACAAGATGCTTCTTTGAGCTTGTATAATTTTGACAATAAATGCATTTCAATAGGGTTTCTACTTGCATTGGTAAAGAAGAAACTCTTAGCATTATATAATGTTATGCAAGTTGTGCACTGCATTTAAAGGAATAGTTCAACATTTGTCAACATCTGGGGAAATGTACTTATTTGCTTTTTTTAACCAAGAGTTAGGTGAGAGGCTTATGATTCTGTGTAATGAAAGTGTAACTTGTTATGGTCAAACTTGGAAATGAATATTGATCTTTAGATCTTTAGAGTTTTGCTTCCTTTGGACAGAGATGGGTCAACTGTTTCCTCCTGTTTCTGGTCTTTATGGTAAGCTATGCTAACATGCTTTTGGCTGTAGCTTAATACTCACAAGGTGTACAAGGTGACTCTCAGCAAGAAAGCAAATAAGCACATTTCCCAAAATAGTGAACTCTGTTCATAATTTCTACCATCCCTTCACCTCTCCAGGTTTCCTCTGTTCACTGCTGTTTACCAGATCTGCTTCAACAACCACCCCGTCACAGAGTTCATCAAATGTTTGCAGAACCACCCAGAGCACATATAGAGGACTGACATAAGAACTGAGGAGTGGGTGGAAATTGAGACAGAACTTATACACTAGCAGTACTGTATAACCCAGGAGTTTTTCTTTTTTTGGCGGGGGGACTCTTAACAAAAAAATGGAGTGGAGTGCCCCTCCAACTGCCTGACCTGATGTGGTTATTTATTCTAAACATACATGTCACCAGTCATTGCATACATCTACCAAGTCTTAAAAGATGGAACTATTTGAATTTCTTTGTCTTATGCAATACAAAAACCTTGACCTCAGTGTTATAAAATGTTACATAATTTCTTGGGTAAAAGTGCCTTGACTTGCCATTTCTCTTAAACAAAGCACAGTAATCACTCCCACTGTGCTGCTTTTACTTTGGATATCTTAAGTTTTAACCAGTTATTTAACAGGATTTATTTTTGGAATAAATGATCAAACTCTTTACTTTTTTGCTCGTGTTCATGTTTGAATATCTACTTCTTTAACTTGCTGGTATCTGCCTGCAGGATACACTCATACACACTCAGCAGCAGCCTCACTGTAACCTGACCTGAGCCCAGTCAGACTGCCACTCTAAACTCTTCACCTTTACCATTTTCTAGTGTCTCCTTCAACCTTTCCTAAACGCAGGTCCTGCCTCGGTCACAGTCCTCATATGTGATCACTGTTCATTTCAGCGGGAATTCTCTGAGATTATAGATGGGCTGTTTTCAAGCCACTTGATTAACAATATATTTGTTTTCTGTTGGTTCATTCACAAACGTTTCTCTTTAGTTGATCTGCAGGAGGCCAGTGTGTCTTCATTAACAGCCATATGTGTCTCATCACGTGCCAGCATCAATGCTCAGTCCCTGTGGGTAAAAGTGTCGGCTAAAAGCACCATACAAGGGATACAGTAACCTGTTTGCTCTGACTTTGAAGTGGGAGTTTGCACCAGCCTGTATCATTTATGGAAGCGTGAGCAAAAATACTCCCCGTCTGTGTCTTTTGATCACACGTGTGTTTATATTTTCTCTTTATCGGTGGAGATTGTATTTGCCTTGCTGAACTTCCTTGCATAGTTAGTGAGTCAACTACCCTGTAAGATTTCTAATAATAACTCAGTCCTAAGGGGCAAATGTCTCTATAATTAGACTGGAGAGCACTGCAGCTGCCTCATCCCTGCATAACTACACAGACAGAAGGATGCCCTTTTTGAAACACTTCACCATTATACAGGAATTGTTTAATATATTTCAGACTTTTAGAGCTTTATTACAGTTTGCATACATTCAATGAACAAATACTCCCAGCAGGATGCAGTGTACAGGATATGTGAGTCATTGTAGGACTGCCTACATTTGTATAGGTCACATTTCTTGACAGCAGTTGTAATACACCCACTGGCCTCTTGAGTGTGCCATCTCATCAATCACAAGCCCATCACTCAGCGTCAGCTTTTTTTTATATGTGCTTTTATAGGCCTGTAGTGTCTTTCGAGGTAACCACTCTGCTGCATGACTGAGCGGAAGCTGTTAAAATCTCACAAGGCACATCACCACAGCTCACATATTGAAGTGTCTACAGTCTGGCTGTAAGAGGAAAACAGCAGAGATGGATGTCATGCACGCATTCTACCCATCCCCACGGTGCCTCACTTCCTCAATCCAGTCCTCGTTTCCAGGCGACGGCCGGGGTGTGTCAGGCTACTCGGTGACAGGCATTAAATACAGGAAGTGGAGGCGTTATACTTTCAAAGTTAAAAGGCAAAACTAGCAGCAACGAGAAAACAAGCAAAGCAGAGTCATTGTTACTTTATAGACTATTTGTTGCGTCTTTGTTTTATATATGTGTTTTATTACAATTCTTTAATTTTTTTGTATTAAAAACGAATAAGAACACCTTGTGCAAGGTGTCATTGTTTTGTCCTTTGGGGCTGCGACCACCAAGTACATTCTTTTTTTTAATCAATATATTTGATATTTATTTTCCTTAATAATCAATTGTGTGAAGTGTCAAAAATGTGTCAAGAAATTGTCAGATATATAATTGTCATTACTCCCTGAAGCTCAAGTGAACATTTTCTTACTACTTCTTTCATGTAACAAACCTTTAAAAACAATAACATGTTATTGTTTTCCAATAACAGTTGTTCTTTAACAATAACAGAAACTGGAAAAGTCTTTTATTCTCAAAGTTACAAAGTTAACCATTCCTTTATTTCCATAGAATGATCCACATATGTTTCTTTATTGGGAAGTACTAGGAGTAGGAAGGAGGAAGATATGATAGCAAGACTGAGATTTGGGCATACTGGTTTGAAAAGTACATTGAAGTTGATGAGGAAGCATAATACAGGGGAATGTGAGTTGTGTGGGCTACAGGAAACTGTGGAACATGTTATTATGAGTTGTCCCAGGTTCAGGCAGGAGAGGTAGTCATTTAAAAATACAGTTCAAAGCGGTTGAATGAACTTGAATTTAACGGAGGTGTTGGGGAAAAAAGCTCAGGGGATATAGGATACAGAACACTTCTTAGGTTTTTAGAGAGAACAGGACTGAGGAAAACAATATAATATGAACTGAGTGAAGTTATTTTAATTCAGTAGTAACAGGCCATTCTGATCCACACTCCAGTCAGGAAGGTGGCGGTAATGCGTCTAAAGCTATTTGCCAACCGCCATTAAACAGCAGAAGAAGAACAGTTCTGGTCAGTCGAAAGTTTGTTCAGTTGGAAGAAAGAAAAGAACGTTCATTCAGAAACAGAGAATGAACACAGAAACCTCAAGCCTCCTTAGGGTGTGTCCCTCGTCCGTGTGTTTTTATGTTTTGTGTAAAATTTATCTTTATCGTTTAGATTGCTCGGTCATATCGCCACAGGAAGTGTCTTTATTATTTAGCAACTTAAGCTGCATTTATTCTGAAAACCGACAGGAAGAGACCTGGACTACACTTACTTAAAACTTGACCACTAAGTATTACAAACTTCTCAGACAAGAGAAAGTTTTCGTAGCAACGCTGAAAGAAAGTTTTATTCAAGCCGAATCCGTTGTTAAACTCCAGAGACACTATGAGAACGATCCTGCAACGATCAGGATTAAATACGGTTTTTCAACGAGACACATCTAAGGGGAGAACCGGCCAGCTGGAAGCAGCTGCACTCCTGAATGCGAGCCCTGAAATCCTGCGACCGCCGACTGAGCCGTGAGTTCCGCCTCGGTACTCCGGATCTGCTGACTCTGGTCCAAAGAGCCTCAGAACCAACGCTTCCCCCTTCCTGGCCACATGGAGTCTCCAAAGCTAAATGCTAACTTCTACCAACAGCTATGTGCACACTAGATATTAGCTATGACTAACTAAACTAAAGTCTCTAACTTATATAGATCTATAGTTATTTTTCCTCTCATATTCGTGAGTAGACCCCAGAACTTGTACCTAGAATGATAAGCTTGGAGCATCGCTAATACAGACAGGATAGCTGCTCATCCATTCATCAGAACATTCACAAATGTACCATTTGCATTACGTTGCTCATCTCGATTATTTTCCCTGTGTATTGTAAATAAATGTATTTAGTTTATAACTGGGTCCATCATGCCATCTTTGGGTCCCTTTTGTTTCCCGTAAGTAGTTCCCTGAACTTGTAAAGAACATATTATTTTCAGATCTGAAATGATTCAATTACACTAAATAATAGTTTTATATTTGGTGGAACTTTAACCATCTTGTGCCCTTAACGAGGTATTTGAATATGAATTCCTGGTGCTCCTTTTCTAAGTGTAGTCATTTCGCTGCATATATATGTTAAAGTCAGAGGTGAAAAATATCTCAGTACATTTGCTCAAATACTACTGTATTTAAGTACAATGTTGAGGTATCATCACTTGAGTATTTTCTGTCACTTCCTCGTTAGAGCCAAATGTAATACTTTTTACTCCAGTTTCTAGATATTTTTTTAGTCAGATTAATAAAACAAAGCCACCAATACCTGAATCAAATTATAAGAACATCCGGTAGTTTAAAATGATCTCCACCTTTACTAGTTGCAACATGCATCAATAACTATAACTCCAAATATGATATACATATGATATATAATATGTGAAATGGATCGTTCTGCATAATGAGTGCTTTTACGTTTGGAACTTTAAGTGATGCTGATACTTTAGATCTTTTTCTTAAGTAACATTTTGAATGCAAGACTTTATTCATAACAGAATATTTTTACAATGTGGCAGCGCTACTTTTAATTAAGTAAATAATCAGAGTCATTCTCCACCACAGATTTGACCTATGCACAGGCCCTCTTTGTGGACTTCAGCTCAGCGTTCAACACCATCATCCCGGACATCCTCCACTCCAAACTGACCCATCTTACTGTGCCTGCCCCCACCTGGCAGTGGATAACTAGCTTTCAGGAAGCAGCAGGTGAGGCTGGGAAAAACCACATCCAGCACCTGGACAATAAGCACAGGTGCCCCCCAGGGATGTGTGGTCTCCCCTCTGCTGTTTTCACTCTACACCAACGACTGCATCTCGAAGGACCCCTCTGTCAAACTCCTAAAGTTTGCTGATGATACAACAGTTATTGGTCTTATCCGAGACGGTGACGGGTCAGCCTACAGATGGGAGGTTGTGCAGCTAGTCCTGGAGCTGAACACGCTCAAAACAGTGGAGATGACAGTGGACTTCGGGAACTGTGTGCCAAGACAACCAGACACAGGGTTCAGTTTCTTCCTCTGGGCTGGCACTGATTAACACCTAACCCACGAGAGTATGTCTGGTCAATAACCCTCAGTGCAATACCTTTCCTCAGTGCAAAACCCGGAAATATACAATGTATATGTGTGTGTGTGTGTGTGTGTTTATTGTATGTACAGGTCTCTATTTATAAGCACTTAACTTATTTTTTTTTATCTCTTTTCCTAATGCACATTCCTTTGCTTGTTAATATGTACGTACATATTGAGAGCCGCTGTACCAGAGTCAAATTTCTCATGTGTCCAACACACCCGGCCAATAAAGCTGATTCTGATTCTGAGAATGAAGTGTGTGTTCTTTGTGAATCGAGCGTTTCTTATTGTGAAATCCGAACCGGAAGTCTGCCGCGTGTTTTGGTTTATTTTCGCACCGTGCGGTCAAGTTGAGTGAAACAAGTCATACAAGCGGTACGGGGGAGCGCGAGACGTACAGAACAAGTTGTACGCGTTTTTGTGGGATAAAAACGATTTTGTTCCAACCGTCCAGGGTCAGGGACGCTGTGAAACATGTCTGCTCTTTCTGCCTGGTTTTGGAACGAGAGGTTTTGGCTGCCACACAACGTAACCTGGGCAGATATGGCAGACCCTGCTCCCGGGGTGGAGTATCCCAAAGCTAGACACTTGCTTACTGCTTTCCCGCTTGCCTTGGGAATTTTCGCCGGCAGGAAACTCTTCGAGAGGTTCGTATTTGCCGGTCACGTCGGGCGTTTTGTTGGAAGTGAGAAAATTCCCTGAAAGTACTTTTACCGGATTTTTTCTTAATTATCTTTAATTAGCGGAATTATGCTTTGGCTGGTTGTGGGAGGACCAATATCTTTTAACCTTGTTAACTCAGAGATTCTCAGTTTTTTGGTCATCGTCAGTAGTTCTGTAACAACTCACTGCAGTTTTTGTTCAGTTTCCTGCTTTTAAAGAGAAAGGTGTGTTCAATGGCCTCATCTCTGGAGGACAGCTTCAACAATGTTAAAGCTAATAGTAAATTTAGCAGGGCACGTTTTCCTCACATTTCTTGTTTATAGATGTCTTTAGTTGTCCTTCACTGATTTGTGCAAGCACGGTAGAAAGTGCAGCCACTTTGGGCAGTTTCATAGAAGCAGCCACTACCCTGCCACATATTCTATATATAGACCTCTGTATATAATCTAGTATCCATTAAGTTGTGATTTTGTTCAGTCCATAAAAGTGGAGAAGGATGTGATGATATGGCATTCAGCAACACACAGACACTGGCTCAGTGCACAGAATGCTCACAGGCCTTGTCACACAACCCAGTGGAGATCTCCTGAAGGCATTTTCCTTGGCAGAGTAGAGCAGTGGGTTTTCATCATTCTCTTGGCTGTTGCTGTATAGTTGAGATGTTGTGAAGTTATCTTATTACTGGCCAGACCCTGATGGGTGATTCTAGTTGGGTCAGGGAGGAAACGTGTTATCCTACCAGTAAATCCTGATTCCTCACAGGATTCTGTAGTTCACCCTGTTTGAACGTCATGGTTTCCTGTGAATTGTGGATCTGGGTAGGCATGGGGTGATCAGCTAAAACAACACCAGGCAGTTAAACAAAGACTTTGATACCAAATTTCTTTCACAATAAATGTTTACTTAACCAGTACCTACTCCCACAGTTACTCATTAACTGAAAGTTTGAACAGTTTACTGATGAGCCAATACACCTGTTTCATTGGCGTCAATATAATATGTTCTTCATAGCTGAGGGAGGTTTTGCCTTGCTATAATACAATATGTTTTCAGTTTGTAAATCTAACAAACCTGTAATGGAAATCTGCATGATGCACTTGGCCTCAGCAGAAGCATTAGAGGAGAATGAAGCATTGAAAATGGTGCCATATCAGCTAAACTCATATTTCAGATAGGGACTTTTAAATTATTGCTTCTGAATGTAATTGTTAAGGTTTAGTCCCCCTCACCAGGAGGGTGAGGGAGAACTGAGGTTGGACTCAAGAGTGCTGACCCAGGTGCTAGTAAAAAACAGGTGGTTTATTGGTTTGGATTACAAAAAAGGAACAGAGTCGAGGAACACATACAACCAGGGCTGAGCAAATACAGCTGAGGAGAACAGGACAACCAGGGGAGAAGACAGGCTAACGGCAAAAAACAGGAGAGTGAGGATGAGGACAGACAGGTGAAAAAACAAACGAACTAGGAGGACTGGCGAACGAAAAAAGAAATCCACAGGAACTGTCAGCATGGATATCAAAAATTAACATCTAGCTAACCTAATGGACAAAAAACATACAAAGGGGTCCACAGCACAGGAACTGTCAACGTGGACGTCTAAAGACATATAACACAAAACATATAACCTACATACACAATGAGATCCACAGCACAGGAACTGTCAGCGTGGAAGTCAAAACGACGTCTGATACATACCACAACTATAGGGCTGTAACGGGGTATGCAAGTTAGGTATTAGCGCTGTGCGCACCAACAAACGAGTCGTTAATTACTGGAATGCAACACAGCTGAGGTGCAGATCCCGCAGGATCAAGAGAGCAGAGGAGAGAAAGGCGGAAGAGTGGCAGGTCGTGCTGAGCGGACCTGACGGTAATAAGCCTTTTCATTAGATTTATTACCTAACATTTCCATCCTCTCATTGCATCATTAAACAATTACTGTAGTTTCTTGTTTGCACAGCATCTAAGCCACCTCAAGGTCAGAAATATTGGAGGTCTGATAGAGTAGTTGGATATATCAGTAGAGACAGGAAAAAGCAGGGTAACAGTTAGCGTGGGGTACAATGATGATCCACATAATGAGAATATGAGATAGATATATACTTTATTGATCCTGAGGGAAATTCATGTTTAGAAATCTTTGTATTGTTGCTGTTAGTATTAGGCCCCCGTAGCTTCATTATTTTATTGTGTTTACAAAAAATATATGGTATATGATTAAAATATATGGCAACTCAGATTTGACTAGCCGCAGCTTGTGATTCTTGTGTATTACATACATAGGGTTGTTTTTTTATCTATCAATGCCGACACACTGGTGGTAGAATTGGTGCTAAGGTAGAGTAGGCAACCTTAGTAGTGTTGGACTCAACCAGTCCTGCATGTTCTTTTATGAAGAATGCTCAAAGACAAATCTGTCCTTTAAGATATTTATTACAATATTCAAGAAAAGCAATACAGAGCTCTGGGTTCTGTCTCTATCTGAGGCCTTGATTCTAAACAGCAAAACCATTGGACTTGCCTTCAGAGCAAAGCAGAACGCCTGTACTCCTGAACCCAGTCAAGTTATACAGTTTTTCGAATATGCAAATGACGGTAGATCTGACATCATCCGTGTTGTCCTTCATCCTCGTTCCTTGGTTGGTTTGTT